AATACTTCCTTCAGTCTGGTTTGATTTCTAAGAAATTCTAGGGGTGTGCGTGTCACTGTCTTTATGATAAGTCTGTCTATTACAGAATCTATAAGGAGAAGAGATAGACTCTCTTGGCAGAGCTATGTTAGATGGTGTCTTATTAGAATGACCTCTTTCTTTTTTTTAACCATATATCTTTATCCCACTTTTCTTTCAAAACTTTTTCAACTGCACCCTTCTGTATGAAACTACCTCTGAGAATCCTAAGCACAAGTGCATTTTCACAAAGGTGATTACAGAGTATGTTTTTGGTTGATTGATTGGTAACAAGGTATTAAATTGGTTAGAATTAATTCTCAAGAGATTTCTGGAGAATACATCATTACATTTGGCTGGGATTATTGCTAATAATTCATTTTTATGATTAAAGGCAGGAAAATGCTGTCAGAATTGTAAAGCTACTTATTTTAAACTTGAAAACTACATTCTCATTTTGCCTGCTCTGTCTTTTGTTCCCCAGTACAATCAAAAGCCTCACCAAAGAGTCATCCATACAACTGTTGCCACCTATAGGTGACAAGTGTAGTATATTAATGTTAATGAAATTTGGATAAAGCACAACATACGAAGGGAATGTCCATGTTTTTTAAAACCTACACAATTCTTGTCAAACATGAATTTTTGCTTGGGTTTCCATTACTGCCGTTTTGCTTCTATCATATTCGTTTTGGATGTTATCTTCACAGATACTAGTGACTGATGTTTTCAAGTGCTTTTCCAAGATAAAGAGTTTAGGTTCCACAAGCAGATTACCTGGGTCCAAGTGCAAGCAGCACCATGGGTTTCCAGGCTGCAGGACCAGGCTCCACCTTCCTCAAGCTTCCATGGCCTGTCAATGTAGATGCTAATGGTACCCACTCCGTAGAAGTGACATGAGGGGTAAAGCAGCCAATCCCTGCGAAGTGCTTAGCAGAGTGTCTGCCTCTGAACTGACACTCAGTAGAAGGGAAATTGTTACTACCATGATCAGTTTGCAAAGCACTTTTACAGGTAGTCACTGTACAGTGATGTGCATTACTTGGTTATCTTCTGCCAAATAAATCATTAATACATTATCATTTGACCTCAGTCCTCCTTATATTTAAATTTAAAGGCACCCCAAGTCCAAAAGCCTCTCAGTATCTGGAAAGACCAAGTTGTGGCTAATTGAACATGTTCCTTGGCGGCAGCAGGGCAAAGAAACTGCCTTAATGCTGTGATTCTTTGCTCATCAGAACACTGGAGAAGCCCAAGCCAGCCCTCAAGAGTCCTCTGGTACTAATGGAGGTTTCCATTGAGATGATAATGACAATTGAGCAATGGGTTACTCCTTTATGGGAAAAGGAAATGGAAGGGTCCACAAATAGGATACTAGAGAGAGAGAGACAGAGACAGAGAGACAGAGGGAAGAAACATGATTCCTAGTAAATAAACTCAGACAATATCAAGATTACAATTTGATACCCCTGCTGGGATTTTTTATTTTTTGTGGTTGTTGTTATCTTGGTTGAATATGTGACAGAAATTAAAAATTGGGGCATTTTTTCAATGTAAACCAATATTTCATGGATTTATTTTCTCATCTTTGAAATCCAAAGATCTAGACCCACATTTCAGCTCAGCAGCAATAGCTAGACCTACATAGCTGCATCTGCCTTTATCACAACCTGGGCCTCTGGGGAGCCATCTTCAGCACTCCAAGGTCCAGTGGATTCTTCTCATCATCATTTGCATAGAGGTTGTTCTTAGAGCTAAGAAGTATTTCTGCTTTCACACCAAAACTTGTAAACATGAAAGGAAGCTTGAGAAGGCCAGGTTTTTCTTACAATGGTCCTTCATTTCCATAACATTCTTGGACAGGGTCAGTCTTTATTACATGTGACAGACAAAACCGACCTTTCTAAAGGTTTCAAGCATTAGAGGTTGGAACCCTTAGAAAATAGGATGCCCTGCCCATAAACAGTGGGAGTTTACATGGTAATTCTTTCCTCAGTCCATCTGCACTAACTGAATCATACTTTGTAACTGCCTGGTGTTTTGTTTGTTTGTTTTTTTCTCTCCCAAACTGCAAATTCTTTTAGATCAGTGATCCTCTGTCTAGTAGGTTTCAGAATTGCTCTGTGATCTTGTTTAAAAGAAACCTCTGGGCCCCAAAGTCTCTCATGTCACACTTGTGGTGGAGACCAAAGACCTGCATTTCCTGGTGCAGATACACTTTTAGAACCACGGATCTAATAATCCTCATTTGCATTTCTTGAGCAACACCTAGTAGTAAGTGCCTTAAGGTACTATGTTTCTAAGATTTTCTTTAATGCTGAAATAACAATATGTTTTATCATCATTTATACCTGAAGAAGTTGTGGGCACTGAACCAAGGAAAGAGCCAAGCTGGTAAGGAAGCCCATGTGTCATTTTCCAGGGTCTCTGCTATCCCTTTTGAACTCAGTTCTTTGAGCATTGAATCCTTAGCAACAAATCCTCCCATCTGCCTTTTAATAGCTTATGTAACAAGGGTTTGCTGAGTGAATTTGTGATCTATATAGACCTTCAGAAGTAGAAAAGAAAAATGCTTGTAGTTCTTGTATGAAGAATAAGACATCCAAGGAAGGAGAAAGCATCCTTGTATATCCATTATTTACCTAAACGTAAATGTAAATGTATATACAATATTTACATTAAACCTTTTTGTAAAAAAATGTATTTAGTTTCTCTGAAGTATTTCCAGCTCCATGTATTTTTAATATCGTGCTATATAATTCTTTGAAAAAGAAAATAAAGCTTAAAACTTGGCACAGCACACAGAAAAGGGCTCCTGCATAAAGTAATATCTAATTATGAAATCACTTTTCTGTGCTCAGCTAGGAAGTCTGTGGCTCAGGCCCCCTATAGTTTCAATGTAGCCATTTGAGATTGGAAATGAGCTCCCTGAGTAATGCGGCTCCACGTTAATGGTATAATGAAATAAGCACTAGTTCAAGGATGATTTTCAAATATTCCTGTAGAATTATACCATTCCCCATAGCAGAGAAAACTGCCCATATCTGCTTTTGGGACACTGAACCATTTGCTTCCATCTCTTTTTTCTTTCTGTTGACTGTTCTGCATAGGAATTCTGTTTGTTCCCATAGAGGTCAGTTTTCTCACTGCACCTTTCCAATTCTTACATGACCATATGAGGAATGGGCCTAGTAGGGAAAGAGAATTGTGTATGTCAGAAGCTGTTTGGTATGTTCTTCAAATGGAACATTTAGGTAGCAAAATGTAAATCAAACAAACACAATGTTTTGTCCTTTACAGCAGAAGGCATTGTGTAGTGGAAAAATTAAGAGTGTAGAGGCAGCCAGGCTGAAATTCCGATCTTGTTCTCTACCATGTTCAGGGAAATCTTGAATGAGTAGCTATGCCATTCGAGTCTTGCTTTGTCATTTTTACAACTGGTCAAAGTAGGCACCAGTGGTGCATGCCTGTAATCCTAGCTACTCAGAAGGCTGATACCTGAGGATCGTGATTTGAATCCAGCTGGGGGCAGAAAAGCCTGTAAGATTCTTATCTCCAACTAACCATCAAAAAAGTTGGAAGTGGAGAAGTGGCTTAGATGATAGAGCACCACCATTGATCAAAAGAAGACAAGTGAGAGCACAAGTCACTGAGTTCATCCAAAATAAGAGGGGGACCAACAGGTAGAATACTATATGTACTGACAGTATGGTATTCTTTTGTGCACTGTAGTGGGTGTAATTCGTGATATTATATATTTCAAAATAACCAGAACAAAGGATTGTGAATATTTTCAGCACAAAGAAACGATGGGTGTTTGACACAACAGATAGGCTAAATACTCTGTTGCAATAGATCATTGTCCATTATCTACCTGGATGGGAACATACATTGTACCGTGTACAGATGTGGAATTATTATGTGCCAATTAACATAAGATAAAACTTAAAACTAGATAACACATGGGCTAAAAAAAGAACATGAAACAAGATGTTTTAACTTAAAGAGGCATGAAAAGGCTGACAGGGAAAAATCTGTTAAATGTCTTTTATCTAGTGGAGGCTTAAGAAATGTAGCTATTATTATCAACTGTAAGACCCTATTCTTGCTTCTTCCTTGTGTTTGAGGGAACTTTTTCTTGAAAAAGAAAAGATGAGAGATGTTTGTAAAGGCCTTAACCCCTCCATGCTTTTCATCATTACTTGCATCTGAGTTCCTTTGTCTTCACCCCAACCCACCTCAGCAGCCAGTGGAGCAACTGAGTCTATTCATGTTCACATTGCTTACTTGCCTGTGGATGTGATTATGACTGATAGATCTCATAAAGTCCTAGAGAGTGCTACTAACATCTTATAATTCATCTGGTATTGCTAGGACCTCCTGGAAGAGTTAGAAAAGAGGGGTTCCTGAACTGCAGACCTGTGACTATGATTTTTACACCCTTGGATCTTCTGTAGGCCTGAAGGCCTCTTTCAAATGCCTTAATTCCTATGAAGCAACAAAATGCAAACATAATAATGGTTCTGACAAATTTGCCACATACATTTTATACCAGTATAAGAAAATTTATGCCCAGGGAAGCGGGGATTTCTATAACTTCTGGTTGAAACTCAATCACTATCCCCTTTTAGAAAAAGGGCAACTAATAGTTAGGAAGAAAGCAGAGGAGCTGGAAAGTTTGATTAAGAAAAAAATGAACATTACCTGAAAAAATTTTAAATGGATCCATTTTAAATGAAAGTAAATGGCATTTAACTGATTTGCAAATTGGGATTTCTGTATCTCAGTAAAATGATTATAGCCTTGATTTATCCCTAAAATTAGCTTTATTATTACCTTTAATTATACTAGAAGATTGTTAAGCATTTGTAAGTTCCCTCTATCCCTTTAAACTGTACCGATCAGACAATAATCAAATATCAGATAGGGTAACTTGATTTTCTAAAGAAATATGTTTCTAATATTTTTCTCTTTTATTACAGAAATTGAAAACAGTTGAAGAAACAAAAGAAGATCCTGAAGATAGATTATCTAAAATTTCCCTGGAGTCATTCAATAAATTCAACAGCACTACTGTGATTCTATTAGAAAAAGAGAACTCTCTGAACAAGGCTGAAGGAGAAAAAGAAGAAAAAGAAAAAAATGAAGAAGCATCTCTGAGTAGCTCAGATAGGCCTGGAGTCGATAATTTGGAATCCTTGAGTGATTCTTTATATGATAGCTTCTCTTCTTGTGCAAGTCAAGGTTCAAATGATGTGTAAAGAACTTTGCTGCTTAGTGAGACCTGGGAAGAGTACACTTAAAAAAAATAAAGCAATGATAAGGATGTAGAAAGGATAAACATTAATGTACAAATGCCAGTCAAGTTCACAGTAGGTAATGTACTACCGCTTATTCCTTTGACAGGGCAATAAAAACTAACTCCAGCTGGGTTGCTGTCTCATGCCTGTAATCCTAGCTACTCAGGAGTCTCAGTTGGAGGCCAACGCAAACAGAAAAGATTTGCTAGTTTCCATATCTAAAAATAATAGCAAAAATATAAAAAAAAAAAAGCTGGGTGCCGGTGGCTCACAACTGTAATCCTAGCTACTCAGGAGGCTGAGATCTGAGGATCATGGTTCAAAGCCAGCCTGGATAGGAAAGTCCATGAAACTCTTATCTCCAATAAACCACCAGAAAACCTGAAGTGGCGCTGTAGCTCAAGTGATAGAGCGCTAGCCTTGAGCTGAAGAGCTGAGGGACAGCACTCAGGCCCAGAGTTCAAGTCCCATGACTGACAAAATAAATACATACATACATACATACATACATACATACATACATAAATGGCTGGAGGCATGGCTCCAGGGATAAAGCACCAGCCTAGCAAGCAGGAGGCTCTGAGTTCAAATCATGATACTGCTAAAAACTACTCCAAAAGGATTGACTCCATTTGTTGTATTTCAAGGGGATAAAAAGTAAACATGATACAGAATTCTTAATTTTTGCACTTTTTGAATACTTGTACAGAAGTTGTAAATTTTTTGAAGAGAAATTATATTTGTAGGGGCAAATGATAGCAATAAATGGAATCAGTGCCATGCTCTTGAAATAATGTACTAAGACCTAGAAATTGATAATATATTTTTAAAAGTTTCACCTGAGATTTGTGAAGTTCACTATCCCAGTCCTCAGATGATTTGTGAGTGCACTCTAAATTTAAAAATAAGAAAAAGGAAAAAATAAGAAAAAAGAAAACAATGAGAGATTGCCATGATCTCCACCTTAGTCTCCTTTTGATAGAAAATTTAATTCAAAAATTTGCTAGAGATTCAATAGATAGCAATAAATGTAATTCTACTTTTCTAGAAAAAAATCAAGCTGAAGTATGGATGCTGATTAGAAGTTATAGTGAATCCAGACCCAACTCAATCCTGGTTCCAATAGCAAGTTCCCCTCTCAAACATTTCCTTCATCCTCCTCTCCTTAGGGTTTGTCTGTGATTCTGAATACTATTTGTTGATTTTTATCTTTTTATTAAAATCTGGGTACTCTAGAAATGAAAGCGGATTCCTATTTGCTCTGTCCACTTTTTAAAAAAATAAAATGGTTGGTGCTATAATAATTTCTTACTTTTTAATATCCTTTTTTCTACAAAGACTGTTTATATGTAAGGATAAATTCTATTTTAAAGGCTATGTGTATTTTTTCTAGATGTGAACTATTTATAATTGCTTTTGTACAGAAGCTGTAAACTAGTCATAATAGAACTATTTTTAGGATGTATATGGTTAGTTTAGCACACAATTGTCCCTTTAAAGAGTATTGTATAATCAGTGTTATTTCGTTCATTTGTGCAATGTGTTACGTTTGAATTTTGTTATCTTAAATGAAAATTATGTAAAGTGTCCTTGTCTTTCAGACTTTTAAAAATCCTTTTTCTTTTTTCCTGAATAAAAGTCCTATCACAACTGCTCTCTATGAAAACTGAAAAGGACTTCTTTGAGGACTTTTTGCTCACTAGGTTATTTCAACTGTGACTCATATGTACTCCAAGGAGGGATTTCCGAAGGCATAAACTGGCCCTTTTGCTCCCAAAGTAGCAATTCAGCCAATGGTAAAAGCAGAGTCTACAGACAAGGGAGAAATGGTCAAAGCATTTCAGTCTCCCCAAGGGGTTAACCAACTAGAAAAGAAAGGAAAAGGTGGGGGAGGGGGACAAAAGGCAGAAGGGAGAAGGAGCCCTAGGCTGAGAGGAAACGATTCGTCTGCAGAGGAATTACAAGAAAGTCACTGACGCTCATTTCCAGACCTGCTCAGCTGGCAGGATGGGAAAATAAATGAACTGCGCCCCAGCTTGAGAGCTTCCCCCGCGAGGAGGCTGGAGAAGAGGGGTTAGAGCTTACTTATGAGGCTATTTCTACTGAAATGTGTGCTCCCTCGAGACTTGAAATAAAGGGGTGGGAACGGGCGGGGACTGGGGGCGGGGGTACCTTCCAGCTCCGGCCAGGCAAGCCTGCTCCGCACCACCTGCTGCAGTGCTCCGCCAGGAAGGCGCAAATCACACCGGCGAATACACAAGGTGGGTCATCTGTAATGGACTGAAAGAAGAAAAATAAGGGTAGAATGGGATGGAGGAGGCGGATGCAGCCAAGGGGCAGCCGGGCAAGGATAGTGGCACCTTATGGAGTGGGTATTCATAACTTATGGCTATGGGGAGCCGAATGGAGTCTCTGGTTGGAGGAAGAAGGAGAGAAACCCTCTTGTTTGCTGTCGGATTTGATTTCCAGCCGGAGCTTATCAGGGTGGTATTCCTGGTGGCTTTCCGCTGGGCCGGGCCACCCCGGCAGCGGGCAGTGTCGGTGCCACGTACCCGCCAGCCATGCGCGCGCGGGCTGGCGACAAAAAGACAGACAGCCAGGGCCAGCGCGTCCGTCAGGGCAGGATCCCCACCGCACTTTCACCCATCCAGCCCTAACCAGTAACCACCGGTGGTGAGCCTCTCCCAAGAAGTAGAAGCGGCACAACTGCGCTAGACACCCCAGGGAGCCGGGGGTGGGGGCATTTCCCCCAACACTCCATCCCTCCAGATCGACTCCCCAGAAGCGGTCGATCCGGCCGGGGAGAGCGCGGGGGGGGGGGGCGACCTGGACCTGGTCTCTGGGGTACTGGAGAGAGCCTGGGACCCAGAGGGAGCTCGCCCGTGCGCACCGAGGCCCCGAATCCGTGCGGGGCTGGTCCCCGCGGCACCTGCTGCGCCCTCCGCACCCGTCTTCCCCCACTTCACATCTCTCAGCCCCTGAAAACTACACCCGCCTCCCCGCGCTGCCCTCGGCGCCCCCTTCCCTAGAACGTGCAGAGGCGGGAGATAAGGGCGGCAGGAAGGAGGTGGGGACACAGAGAGACAGTCCCAGCCTCCCCTGCCCGCCACCCCCACCCAACTCGACAGCCGTCACGTGGTGCCTGGAGTGGGGGGAGAAGGGGGGGAGCAGAGGAGAGACTTTTTTTGGAGGGGGGTGCTTCGGAGCGCCAGTAGTTCTTCAGTCTAAGCCACCAACTCCGGAGGTGCCAAGCTCGGCCCGGGAGCGCCAGCCAGAGCCGTGGGGACCCCGGCGCGGAGAGCCCCGGCGCGGGCGATGCGGGCGCCGCGGGCGACACCTGCGGCTCCCCTCGGTGGCGGCCGTCGCTCGGGCGGCAGCAGCGCGGGCCCCGGCAGTACCAGCGGCCACGGTGACCGCGGCGCGGGCGTCCTCCGCGGCAGGCCGCCGCCTCTGATGCTCCCGCCCGCCCGCTCCCGGCACCGCGGCTCCGGGAGGATGTGGGTCCTCGGCATCGCGGCAACTTTTTGCGGATTGTGCTTGCTTCCAGGTAAGGAGACCACCGAGGCCGGCAGCCCCGCCGAGCGCTCCCAGCCCAGCGATCCGCCACCCACCGGCCCCTCTCCTCCCCCCGCCCTCACCCCATCCCACCCCCAGGGCGCCCACCTCCGGGCGGGCGCGGCTTGGGGCTGCCCCGCGGGAGTTGAGCGGCGGGGCGAGTGGTGGCCCGAGGCGCGCAAAACTGGGAAAGTCTCCAAGTCCCTCGCTGCTGGACTTGGGGACTGTTGGATTCGCGGGACTCCCAGCGCTGGCTGCCCAGGGTACAGTTGGGAGAAATCGCGGACAGGGGTTGGCTGGGGGAGAGGGAAGGTGTAGGTCATGGAGAGGGTCTGGGGGAAGATACGAAGGGGTGACCTCTCCCCGAACCGCAGCCAAGTTGTCAAGTGTCTTGCAACCCGTGGGAGTGGCGCCGCCGACAGGTGAGCGACGCGCTCGCGGAGCTGGCTGGTGCCGGGCTGCGCCGGGGCTGTGTCCCTGCTGCGATCCGCGTGAGCCACGCAGGGGACACGCCGGGGACAACAGCCAGGTCTAGATAGTGCCTCCGAGGATGCCGGTGTCTGACTCCCTCTCTGACTCTTTGCGGACTGAGCTCTGCAGAGCTGGGACTCGGACCGCGAACCCTTGCCAACGATTGTCCCCCCCACCCAAACAAAAGCCCCGGGGACCCGGGGGGCTGCGGTGTGGCTCACAAGCCGAGATCTTCACGTCCCCTCCGACCCGCGGCGGCCGTCCCCTCCGACGCCGTTAGAAGGGTCGGCGAACCCCGAAGTCTTGGGGCGCAGGGGCGCTTGGCGACCCGAGCCTCCTCCCGCGTTCCCCCGTGGTCGCTCAGGAAACAGCGCCGGAACGCTGGCTGCAGAAATTAAGTAAAACCCAAAAGGCGTCGGCAAATGTAATCATGAATGGTGCCAAAATAGTAATTAAGTAATTTGTAACCAATTAGCAATTAAGCAAATCCTTTGGCATAGACCGGAGCTGACGCGGGCTTCCGGAACGACTTGGTTCTCGGGTCTGAACCTCTCTGTCCTCCTTTCAACTTCTTGGGAATGACCGCCCGTGGTGGTGCCGGGGCACTCCGAGTCTGGAGCAAGGATTTAGGGAGTCGTGGGGCAACGTTCCTCTCAATCCTCTGTAGGACCCGGGGTGCCCGCGCCGCCCTCTTCCGGCTTCAGCCACATCCAGCTCTACGGGAGACCTCGAAGGGCAGAGCTGACACATCCCCGAGGCCCTGAGCCCAGGCTTTCCCGGAGCAGGAGTGGGCTTGCTCTGCGGGCGGGATCTGACCACCCGGACCCCATCTGTCCTTGCAGGCTTTGCGTTGCAAATCCAGTGCTACCAGTGTGAAGAATTCCAGCTGAACAACGACTGCTCCTCCCCTGAGTTCATCGTGAATTGTACGGTGAACGTTCAAGACATGTGTCAGAAAGAAGTTATGGAGCAAAGCGCGGGTAAGAGCCTGGCACCTCTTCCAGTCCTCCCTTCAGCTAGCCTAGGCAGCGAGCGTGAGAGTGAAGGACCATTAAATTACAGAAAAGGGGGTGACTGATTTAATGTGTGTGTGTGTCATTGCGCGCGCTCGCGTGCGCGCACACACACACACACACACACACACACACATTGGTTATCACAGATTTACAATGCTAGGAAAATGAAGAGTTCGGAGTTACCTTAATCTCATTAGAGTTAATTACCAGGGTTTCTACCCCAAGGGATTTGGGAGGGAAAGTACATTTAAATCAGTGCCTCTCCTCTTTATATTTACTCCCTTCTCCTCCCTGTGCTAAAAGCTGATCAGTGGGTGGAAAAATATATGAATAACCAGCCCTGGCTTGGGCAACTAGACAGTAGCTGTGAGGGATGTCAGCCTGAAATATGGAGCTAGTTGAAGTTCCCAGAGGTCAGAGTTTGAAAAATGTGTTTTGTCATCGAGCCACACCATATTTCTTTGAAGAACACTATAGGATCTTTATTTAATTTTAGAACTAATGCATCAAATTCCAGGCACAAATTGCCAAGATCTTTCAAAGGAATGTTGTTCTCAGCCCTACAGGCTCAGCTGCTGGCTGGCTCACAGACACTGAGCATTATGCAGGGGACATGGGGTGGAGGGGAGAGAATTCTCACTCTAATTTAAAGTCTTTTTTGGATTCCCCAGTGCCATCTTTCCCAATAATCTTAGTAAAACTCAAAGTCCCCCAAAACATCATGGAACTTTGAGGGAACATAAAGGAAGGTGTTGCTTTAATTTCAAGGTCAAATCATAGGGTCATCGCCATGGAAAGACTGTTGAAAAGATGGGAAATAGCATCACGTAATAAATGATACTGAATGAGCCGAATCCATACTACTCTAGTTAGGGAACTAACTGCTCCCAGAGCCCCAGAGTGAAGTGATTAGAACTGTTACATGATTCCTTTAAACCACTGGCAAGCCATGCAAAGCTAGTTTTAAAGGCAGCACCTTTGGAAAGTACTTTGCCCTAGAGAAAGGCCTGAGGATGTTGCTAACCACAGGGTTACTGGAGAAACTTATTAGCTAGAGAGATGGGGACTTCTCTCATAGCATTCATCTCTGTGTTATGAAGTGGTGTGCATATGGTTTTATAAGCTGTTCTTCATAGGTGATTATTGTCCAGGGTATGGATTTTTTCTACCAAATTGCTCTCCTAGGAAATATGAGATGTAATTGCTTTGAAGAATAACTTGTCCCAAGAAAAGTAGCAAGCATTATTTTGGTATATGAGATTCAATCTCATTTTAAAAAAGCAGAACAAAACTAAGCTTGATGATGAGGCTTTAGCTCAGAGTGATATAGACAGTTTTGACAAGTGGTTTCTTTTGTAGTTGTATTTCACTCCTGCACTTTTCCTGGGCTTTTCCTGACCTTTTGAGTATTTGCAGTTCTTTCTCCACAATAGTTTAGAGCTAGAATACTGAAGGCCACAGCTTACCCAGTTATCATGTTTTATAACCTAAGATGTGGTTGAGGAAAAGATATGAGCTGAATTCGAGTCCAAAGGGGTACTCTCTCTGAGAGACATGTCTTTTCCCCTTTGTACTTGCCTTTGATGAATACTGTATACTCGATTTTCAAAGTGCTATTTTACATTTTGATTAATTCTCTACTGAAAATCATATTATAAAACCAATATATAAAGGCAAAGCAGACATTATAATTCCCATTTACCACAGACAACTTCATCACAGAGAATTCCTAGGTACCTGGCCTGAGGTTGGTTGCTTCCTATTAATGTAGTTAAGTTGGGTGCTTTGTCTCCAAAACCATGTTTCTCCCACCACAGGCAAAAAATGGTAAGACTAAAGCATAATCCAGTCTTAAACTTGAAGAATTAAAAACAGGAGCAATGGATGAACACAAATGAAAAATCAGTTATGAGCAAGAGCACAGGTCTAGCCATATGCAAAATATTCTAAACCTAAATCCAGTAGAAACCAGCCAACCAAATTTATTTCTGTACTTGAGAGCCATGTCTAAGCTCTGATACTTCCAATGCCCTTTCATGTTTATGTAATTGCTACAGACTAGTCTGTTTACTTTGGATGATAGGAACAGAAAGCAAATCTGAAACTGATTATGACCACAATGTGGCATAATCATTGCAATACTAATGGCTAACTTTTGTCATGTGCGCTGTGCATCTAGCTCTTCCTTCATCAAGTTATCTGTAGTGTCTCATGAAATCTGGTAGAATTTTCCTCATGCCACAACCAGTCAGTATTTAAGTCCATGGCATAAGCCAACTCTGCCTTTCTGAAGAAAGTAATGCCTGTTAAATGATACCATTAGAATCAAAGTTGGAATTGAATCAAAGTCAGAATCTTAGTGCTTTGGAGCTGAAATGGCTCACCGAATCCTTCTTAAGGTACATTTTACCGTCTTCCTGGAATTTGGTTGATTCCACATGCCTGGGCCCACACTGAAGAAACTAACTTCATAAGTCTGTGTTATATCGGCCATGGCTTTTATAAACTCCCCAAGTAACTCTGGGGTGCTCCAAGTTGAGATTGCTGATCTGGACCAAGCTTTCTTAATAAAAGAGGATCCAAACTATTTCTAAGAGAAACTGGAAATCTGCTTTCCAAGCCAATACCTGTGCCACCTGCCATCATCTCACAGACTAAAATGCATCACCAAGTTTACCTGAAAAGGTAAGTCAGGCAAAGTTCTAAGGTCTGAAACAATTTTACATGTCCATCAGGTTCACCTGACTGGATCAGGGGACAGGTCACAAAGTGAATGTTGACAGAATAAGAAAAGCAACTAGTAGGACTTTTAAAGTTAGAGTGCTATGTAGATTGGCATTTTTCATAGATAGAAAAAACAAAGGCTTTAAGTGGGCTAAGAAATTTTAATGAACTAAGCTGGTCTGATATTAAGCAGTAATGAAAGGTGCTCTCTCTCCCTAAACTACCAGCGATGCAATATGCCCAGGCCTTCAGTTAGTCCTTTCGGGATTAAGGCTGCAGACTCAGCTTTTATGAATTTTGAGGCAGGTAAATTTAATTTTCAATAGGGAAGTTCATTTGAAATTAACCTTTACCTATCCCCCAGAGTGTCATTCCTATTAGGTGCTGAGAATGTTTTCCATTGCTCTATTTCCCCTTGGACATTGCTAGAATAATAAAGCATGTGCTGTGGGAACGAAGAGAAGGTTTGGTTCAGCTTTTCCCATTGTCCTTTCTAATTGATATTTAAATGTTTGCGTAAGTAATGACTTGCTCTCACCAGTTCTGCCCTTAATGGGCTAGTGTCTATTTGCCAGCACCCTTGATAAGGACATTTCTTTTGCTCTTGTTTATCATTGCATTTCACAAAATATTTCAAATATTGATTTTCATTTCAGAATAAAAGCTTCTCCCTCTTCTAGTATGAATTTTTAAACCAGGGTATAAAGAATGTGGATTTGCATTTGTTTGACAGTGCAATCTTGTAATTAGAGTTTTTCCTCTTGACTAGATACAGTGAAAGGGGCATAATTTAATTTTTATGGACTAGCCAATTTCTGCCCTTAGTAAAATATAGCTCTGTCAGTGAGCAAAATGTTACAGGTTCTCTTAAACCTTATTTAAAAGTTAAATGCAGTATATTGAGAGAAAGTTCATGGTCTGAATCAGTAACCTAATCGATCTCATCACCCATCCTTTGCAACATGCATTAATCTATTTGTCTGTTTTGCAATACAAGAGTTACTGATTTACATGCCATGGTGCATCTACATTATGGCTGGATAAGTAATGGCTGTCTTCCTTTTGGATTAGTTAGTTGCTCATTAAGTTGAGCAAGGATAGCTCAGGGCTCTGGATGGATTCATTGATGGCTTGTTTTCTCATGAGCTAAATAACGAATGGCAAGAAAGGATGCAATGTTCATTAAATAATCACTTATCCACTTTCAGTAGATAGAAATAGAAAAGTAATCATAGCCAATGTTCTTTCAAATCTAGTTGTGCTTAATTTTACTAGTATTTAAAAACCTAGGTTCTATTTCAACCTTGATGTAGGCTTAGAAGGAGTGAAACCCAGTATAGCTCATCAAATTTATATCCCAAACCATTTTCCTAGCATTCTTTTATATAAGATGTGTGCAGGGTGATATATAAGGATCGCTTTAGTTTTCTACAGGTGTTTAGCCAATTTTGCCAGCACCGTTTACTGAAAAGCCTGTCTTTCTTCCATTCTATTATTTTAGCTCCCTTATCGAAGATTAGGTGGCACATACATTGGAACACACATGATAGCATATATATGTGTGTGTTTATATAGTTTTACCGTTTTACCTGTGTGTAGATATATGTGTTTATCTGCATATACCCACATATGTAATTCTTGTAATAAAAATGAAAAAATTAAGTCCTCCTTTGAAGGTGTTCAGATCATAAGTTTTCCGATCCATGCTATGTTGTAGACATAGGGACAATTTTAATATAAAATTTTCCAGAATGACTTTGTTAAGAGCACTTTGTTAAGAATGACTTTCTCTATGCGTGTCCCTCATCTGCCCATGTCTTTTTCCTCCTCCTCCCAGGCCTCTCCATTATCTCACTTAGTAAAGACTTCCTTACTAGAAACCAATTAATCAGAATGATTTTTAGGATGTGCTCTATAGAGCAAGTGAAAAATAAAAAGATTTTAAATTACTATAGATCAAATTTAGCAAAGGAAACTTCCCCAGGTTAAAAAAAATAATGTTAAATCAAAACGATTTCAATGTCAAGAAAGATATCCACACATATTAACACCAGCCTCGCTAAAAAGGTTTCTGTGTCAGCTTCAATAAAGTTATGAATTACACAGAAAGAGATTCTGTGCTGGATATGTCGATGTCTCTCCCTCTTGCCCTTGCAGGACACTGAAAGAACACTTTTCTCTTCGGGGGCATGACATTTTGCCAATCAGCTTGCTCACTTAGTTCTCCAGGTATATCCATC